ACTTCCAAGTGGGTTAACTTAGGTGGGGTTCAGCAAACTCTTATGTTGCTTGCTAGTTCTGTCTTTCAGTTAGTTTTGGATAAATATTAATGTTGTTAACTTGCATAGCAAGCATAAAATCAACCCGTTCTAATAGCGTTTGTGCATGGTCAGAAATGCTTTTATACTGTCACTGTGTATTAACAAGGTGGTTTAAATATACACTGGCTTGCATTAAGAAAACTTTTGCTGAGACATCTTTCATTATTTTTGTAAATGTCCTGATCCAGCCTCGAGGCAATTACAGGGCTGTTTTAATAACCCAATTAAGGTGCAGTGGGGTTAGAATAGAATGAGCAATGCAGCTTTAAAGTCTAAAGTGCTTTGGGAATTCTTCTTGAAGGCAGTAAGAAGTTCAAGTTATGAACTTGGCCTAGCCAGGTTCAAAATATAAACAAAATTAATACTTTACTATAGTTCCTGCTATTTTACAGTATCATTTTCTCTCTTGACACTAGTGTTTCATTGTGTGTACTCTGTGGACCGCATTCTCACGTCACTGCAGAGACATAAGGGAATAAAATAGAAATAGGCTTTTTAGTGTTACTGATGATACAACTGGAATGATTCTCTATTTAATGTGAATCAGAATAGGGCCTGATAGATATTTTTTTTTTTTTTCATCTGCTAAGTGAAGCTTATTAACTATCAAACAATTCCATTGCAGATCTACCAGAAAGTACTCTGGTAGTGGTTAAACTTCAAAGTACCTTCAGTGAAAAAATGCATTGAACTACTGGAGTGTTTCATAAAAACAGAATCTGTGTTGACAAATGCCTCTATTAAAATTGAGTTTCCAGCATTGGGTGATGCTACATTGGTCAAAGAGGCCGTTAGGGACTGGAAGAAATTTAATAGGGAAATTAAAATCTCATTTAAATAATTAAACTCGGGCTATGTAGCTTGAGCATAACTGGCATATGCTACCTGAAAACTTAATTTGTACTACAGACATTCTATGCTTTACTTAAAACATGTTTGTTTCTAAGCAATCTTTTTTTTTTTTCATTTAAATATTCTCTGTGCTCATCTTTATTTGGCTTCATATTCCTCTGTAGGGTAAAATGTTAATGCACCAACATCCAGAATACCATTCCAGACAAGACTAACGAAGGCCAGAAACTACTTCAGTGCTTAACTTACTCATATAAAATCACTCATTTTCTTAGCTCATTTACTGACATAATAGTGCAAGGGAGTTGGAGGGCCAAATCATTAGGGGATAGGAACGGCAGCTAGTTAAACTTACAGCTATTGCAGCAAGACAGTAGAGATAACTGGAAGGTATATCTGCTAAACAGATCTCTCTTTTGTTTCTAGGTGTGGTCACTGTAAGAACTTGGCTCCAACTTGGGAGAACCTTGCCAAAGAGCAATTTCCAGGTTTGACTGATGTCAAAATAGCAGAAGTAGACTGCACTGTGGAACGTAATGTCTGCAACAGATTTTCTGTAAGTGTGAAAGATCTGAAATGAACGGGATAGTATTGTGTACCAAATGTTAGAGGCTCCAGCGTGCAGCTGAGCCGGCTGCTGCATTGCGGGTGCCTGGTGATGGTGCAGCTGTGTTCTCCATTAGCCAAAAAAGAGGTAGTTCAGAACAGCACCTGGTGACACCGTTTCTTTCCTGGACTGTTTGTTCAGACTCGGTCATTCTCATTATTGGATAAAGCTAAAGAAGTAAGTCCCTAATTTAAGAAGCCTCCCTCTGTGAAAGCACCAAAGCGGTCTTGTCTTGTGGTAGCCGATGCAAAGTTCTGTTCCTAGGGAAAAAAAAAAGTCTTTTGGTGCTGGTAGGCAGACAACCGAAGACAGAGCTGGAGCTGCCATTCCAAGAGCCTAGAGGAACATGTATTACCCCATTCACTTACAAATATTCAGAAATTGCAGGTTGGCATTGGAAGTTCTGGTGTGGTGTTTGGCGTTGGGTTTTTTTTGTTTGTTTGTTCTTTAAATTAAAATGGCTTATTGTTTTAGAGGGGTTTGGTGGCTTTTTGGAGTCAGGTAAATACAAGTGAAGGATATTAGTGAGTTTGGATATTAGTAACAAGTGTCTTTTGTGTTGTGTGTGTGTCTTTTGAAGGTACGTGGTTATCCTACACTTCTGCTTTTCCGAGGTGGAAAGAAAGTCAGTGAACACAATGGAACGAGAGACCTTGAATCGCTGCATAGCTTTGTCTTGCGTCAGGCAAGGGATGAATTGTAATAGAAGTCTGGATGCTCCGTCCCTGGCTGTGTTCGTACAGTAGCTGAGGGATTTCAATCATTGCTAATTTTCAAATAGTGTATTTGGGGGTGGGGATTGGGGCATTTTTTTTGTTTGTTTGTTTTTAGGAAATTGAATGTACTACATATTGGTATCTTCCCTCCGTGTGTGTGTTAAAGACACGCTACCCTGTCTGTGAAGGAAAACTAACAAGTAGTTACTGTGCAAATTGAGAATATTTTCAGCATTGGTAGTATTACTGCATTTCTGCGTTCCCGCAATGAAGTGTAAATGGTTTCCTTTGAGACTAAAATACATTAAGAAAACCAACTTAAGGGCATCAGTAGAATATTTTTGTCTTCAGGTTAGATTTGGTTAAAAAGTAATCCTTACAAACTGCCTACCGTTACTAGAAAGGTAAAAGCTACAGCTGTGTTGAGTCACTTTTGCCTCTACAACTGTACTTAAACTCTATCTGTCTTAATATAGCTGCTGGTAAGAAATGGAAAGTCATGGGAGGTTGAAAACACACACACCTTTGGATGATACCAGGCCACCATGAGCTGGTTGTTTCCTGTTAATCCTCTCAGCATGGGAGGTCTAGCCATAATGAAAGTGATGGTACTGTAACACGTGCCTGAACATTACTGATGCCATAGTGTACATGTGTCAGGTGGATTTTCGTAGGCTGCTTCTGTCCAGCTCCAGAGGAATAACAATGCTCTACTTATACAGAGCCACAGTGAATAGGCGCTATTATAACTGCTCCGTTAATATTAAATGATGGGTTGGACTTCAGAGCTGATGACGTGTTTCCTACCCTCACCTGAATCCAGACGTTGTGCTGACCTGCTCCTTATTCAGAGTACTTTAGAGAACAACAAGTAGTACAATGTTTAATTTTTTTTTTTCCATTCAGCTGTTCTACAGTAATGTAAAATACTTCCCCACTCTTCCTGAGCCTTAACCTTTTTCCAAGCTGTAAATGTTGATACATTTGAATGCTAGGATCATGCACTCTGTGGTGCCTTGGATTATAATATGGATCTATTCTTTGGTGCATAAGATGTTCCATGTTAGACATGATTGAAAGCCAAAGAATTTACACTGCAGAGACTGTCACGATACAAAGGCAACAGCAAACCAAGGACTGAATTCTGCCATCTCGTGTGCACAGAAACTCATGGAATGAGGATGGCTACAGGCTAATTTGACTAATCTGTCAAGATGCTGATTTTTTTGTCCATCATATGGAGTAGGTTGGGTTTGTTGGTGTGGTTTTTTTTTAAAAAAAAAGGCAGAACAGCAGTGAACTTTTAAATCAGTGAATTTCTCCTGGTACTTCACTTCACTGTCTGTCCAGAACTTTTGATTCTGTTCAATCTAAAAAAAAATGTGTAAGGGTGAAAAAGCCACAGTGAAAGCTAAGTGTTGTACTGGCAGATGTATTAGATCAATGTATATACTTCTGCCTTAAAGGAAGCCTTTATTATCATGTTTTTAACAACTTTCTAGTGAAGCACAATCTCATGAGTTTCTTGTATAAAATCAAAGTGGTACAATTGTTTACACTGAGATTTTTCTAAATAAAAACTTTTTAAAAAAAGCAGTCTTTCTATAAATGATACAGCACAATGAATATACAGTGACAAGTGCAATAAATTATAGCTTGTATTTACAAGAAGCCTTTTAAATGCAAGAATTAGAGGTAAGTGCATTTAATACAAGTTTAATATTGATCAAAACAACTTGCTATTAGCTTCTGCTAGACAAACCGTGGCTACACTGTGAATGTATCCTTTATGCCAGTTTGTTAGTTGCGTGAGTTGGAGGGGAAAGGTTGGCCAAAGACTTGCATATGTTGTTGACATTCTGTCTTCCTGTAAATAAATTGTCCAGCTAGAGAATGAATGGCCCCTGAACTTTTACGTCTGAATTACAGCTGTAGGAGCATCCCGCCTTCCTTCCCGGCCAAGTGGTAGCAGACGAGACAACTCCACGTGGGGAGTGGAAGGAAGTTGCATAAGAACAAGTGTATAAAGTTATGTTCCTCAATCAAATAGTGAACTGGAAAGACCAGCCAGGGTCTGTGTTCACGCTAGTGTTTCTAACACAGGCGGTAGCCAAGCCATCTCATGCTTGCAGCATCAGACTTAAACTGTGCTCGGAGAATAAGAGAACTGAAACATTTGCTTTGGCACAATTTAAGATGCTTACTGTCATGACAGATTTCAGGAGGAGACTAACAGTCTAGGTGTAGTAACTGGTCCTTCTAGACAAAAGGCAGTTTCTAACCTTAGGAAATTTTTATTATCTTACACAAGATGTATAAGTCTGAAGTGCTAACACCACTTTCTTTACTCTAAGTTTCCCTGTCTCATCTCCCCCTCCCCCCCCACCCCCCAAAAAAACCCCAAACCCCTCACTCATTTTGGGTGTTGGGTGCCCATCTGGTCAAACTGCAGCACACATCCAAGCAATGGCTAAGGCCAAGCTGCTATGTGAGATTAAGACCATCCCAGCGAAATAAAGCGTGTGTGGGCATACTGCTGCTTTGCGTGCCCCGGCTCTGCAGAGCTGAGCAGCCACGGTGGCATAGGGTCAGTCTGTAAGAAGTCCAGCGGTTTGCTCGCGCCCCAGCGTGTGGTCCCCGCACCCCTTCCTCCCACAAGGCACATACATGGTGGTGTAAATGGTGGTTCATCAATTATTTTTTTCTCCAAGGTCAGGTAGTTCATGAAAGCGTGGAAGGTAGTATGGAAGTTCATTGTAGAATCACAGAGTCCATCTGAAGACTGTTTGTCAGTGACATCCACAAGCTCTTACTACCATATTCCTGTACTTCTTCAAGATTACGTTAGAATTATCATCGAAGTAAAGAACAGATATGGCATTTAGCTTGGTAGGTGCACAGCATGGTTTGGGAACGTAATCAGGATTCATAAGATGAACCTGTTGCCAAAAAGAAAAACTGAGATAATGGTAACTCGTTTACAGAGTCACCTATTGCTTTGGCATGCAGCTTTCTGGAGACTTACCAGGGTTTGTACGATGGCATGATTCGTTGCGTTCATATGGGCATTGAGTGGGAATGAGCACTCCCCATCACAGTAGTTGGCTGCATAGCCCTTCGGAGCGATTATCCAGTCCTTTTTAGGAAACAAACAGAATGTAATTCAAATTAAAAAGTTGCTAACTTGTATAGACAACTGCATGCAATTAAAAGCAGCTGAAAATTTTCCACTAACTTTTTTCTTGAGGGTGAAAATGTGTTTTCACTGGAACTGTTAGGGTTTGGGTTTTTTTTTTTTGTGAGCCATGACTTTTCCATGGACACACTGATTTTCATGTCCAAAGAATGGTGCGCGTCTATGCACAGCTTAACTGCCATGAACTAAAAGAGTTTTATTCCTAAAACTCTTGCTGGGTTGCCTTGTGGGGATTGTGGTTTGGATGCCTTTATGTTCCAACGTTTCCTGCAGGTTAGGCCCTCTGGCTGAACTACCTTTCCTAGGTTGAATCACAGCCTCAGCTGGTGTCGCCTCCCAGAGAAAATCATGTACGTGCATGCACGCGTGTGCACACACGCACAATTCAACCAGGGAGCTCCAGAACGGGAATGTAAAACACCGTTGTGGTGCCTCACACACTCTACCTTATGTTGAGTGGGAATGAGCGCTCCCATCACACTCTCATACAGGGATGTCAGTCTGCTAAGGCCACTGTGGGAGGTTTTAGCTGCGTAACAGCTTTTCCACCTCTGCCAGACCCCTAAAGGAGGGACAGGACAGCCAGCCTGAGCTGCGTGTTGCAAGCAGGTGGCCCTGGTGGCAATCTGAGTGCCACGCTATGGAAGAAGGCAACTCTTCACCAAAGTGCTAATAAAAAAAAATTACAGCTTCTCTGCTGCTGACACAAAAGAGCCAAAGGTAAATTAAAAGCATCACCAATTAGCAGGAGACATTTCTCCTCCCTCGGTGTCAGGCTCTGCAGGTCACCCTGCAGGAGGATGTACTGGCACGCTTCACATGCACATAATTCTTAGACGATTTCCCCTTTACCTGACAACAATTACCTGGGTTAGCTTGAATTTTGCTCCAGCAGGTCTGAGCAGCCAGAGGCTGTTGCTGCAGCTTTGCTAACCAAGGTTGCTGTTTGATTGCTAACATGAGGATACCTGGGCATAGCAAAACCACCCCTTCATTCTACTGTACTAGCTCACCCATAATTTGCTCTGCTTTTCATAAGAAGACAGTCACTCTCCTGCTGCAGAAGCCAGTACAGACTGTGTAATTAAATTTGTGGTTTAATGCGGTATAAGAATAAGGGAAGCACTCTACTGCTAAAAAAATTGATGCTAAAAAAATTTATGCATGTTCTGAAGGAGATACCAGTGCCCAACAACTGCAGGGGGCTGCTGCGCTGCCTGCATCATCTCCCTACATGAAGTAGGATTTGGATTCCAGCTCCTGCAAAGAGCCCTGCTGGTCTGTGGCCTGCCTTTGGCAGCATCTTACCTTTCTGCTCAAGCCTGCAACTAGAAAGGTGAAGGCAGTGCCCTCGAGACCGTGAACTTCACAACTGGAATACGCTTCCTGCCTGGAAGCAGGGCAAGCGAGCTAAGGAGGAGGTGGAAAGACTGTGCACAAGTAAAAAGAAAAGCCACTAACAAGTAACGGGGAATGGAGTCAGCATGCAGCCATAGCTGTGGCTAGCGGGATGGAGTTGACATAAGCTACAAAAAAATGCTGCTGTCCAATTAGCTGGGAAGAGGACTTTCATGTGTAGGGTATGCCCCAGAAGCAGCAGGGGCAGCCCTGGCGTCCTGAATTATAATCTGGTAAAAACATTAGCTGATAGAAATGGGACCTACCTCACAAAAGTGCTGAATGAAAGAATAAAAAAAAATTAAAAATTTAAAAAAAGAAAAGATGAGGGCATTCTTTGAAACGTGATGTCTGATGACACTATGGCCTGGCCCTAAATAACTTTAAACAACTCTCTGGCCTCACGGTGTCGCAGCTAAACCCAGTCTCCAGTCCACCTACCGCAGCCAGTGCTAATTGTGGAGCAGGGGTGGAGGATTTCAATACAATGGCCAAGGTTACAATTAGACTGATCACTAGAAAAAAACTTGATTTTGTTAAAATCACTGCTTAACATCAGATTTTTTTCCTTATCATTAGAGGTACACAGTATATGATCCCTTGCCCGTACCGTGACTCCCATGAGTGACAGAGAATGACTGTATACTTGAATCTCATAAAGTATCAAGCTTCCTCTGGATCTTATCAAATGTCACAACTATCAATATTTATTTGCCCTTCCCTGTGACTGGTTTTAGTGGGGAGGCACAAGGGACATTTTAAAGCATAATGGCAGCCTCGAGTGGAATTACCGTGACACTGTTTAGATAACATTTCATAACAAAATGTCTAGTTTACCCAGAGAGAAACATCACACACCTGCCATCCCAAGTCTTGGAAGCTAACGTAAAGCTCATGCTTTCTGCATGCTGTTTTTAAGTCACTGCTGTTGTAATCTGTTAAAAGAAAAAGAACAAAACAGGAATTTAGAAAGTAAAACAGGCCGAGCATTGCTGGAGGGCACAGCTGGCCAGATGTGTGCACACTGCAGGCTCAGCAGTGAGAAACGGCGAGCTCCCTCAGCAGCCAAAAGGATAAGGGTGTTAAGGGACATCCAAACCTTTTAAGATGCCTATGGGAATGGAGGCACCCAAGTAACAGTGGCTTGGTTATAATTCCTTCAGCTGCCTTTAATAACTTGACAAGCAGCGCTTGTAAAACACCTCCAGTAAGATGACTTAAAAATAAATCTACCCCGTCAGCCCGGCACAGGCTACATCCCTGCTCAAACTCGCCCCACTTCCTTGGCCGCGGTTTCCAACATGTGCCACCCTTGGTGGTAAGCTCAAAACACACACACTTATTGAGAGAATTACAACCCCGGGAAGGTTAATCATCGCCTTCTGCCCCTGTACTGGTTAGCAGAAGTCCTTAAACAGCTAAGATGTCCCATAGGCAGTGAAGCCATGTCCCCGTCCCTCTCTGTGCCTTACCCCCAGCCTGCCTTGAACATCACACACAGCTCCACGCACCACCTCCGCTCTTGGACCTTTACAAGCCATGCTCTGAAAACCAAGTTTCTCCTTCCCATAACCTGCTTATCGGCAGGTAACACAGGATTTGACACACTGTCAACATTAACGTGCTCCTTAGTGCCAATACTGGATGGAAGAGTGAGGGCGCAGGGTGCAAAGCCCTGACCAGAGACCTTCCCCCTTGCCATTGCGCAACGTAGGAGGATGTTTCAACCATGCAGAAGCTGCTCCCGATGGCCCTATAAAATGCAGCTTTTGACAGCGAGTGGAATTTCCCATTTATATTTGGAAAGAGGCGGCTCCGCACACGAACACCTGGAACCGCAGCGAGCGGAGGAGCTGAGCCGTGACAGAGGGGCCTTTCACCCCTGGGTGGCTGCACAAATCCAGCCTTGACAGGCGGTGGCTGATTTCATCACGCCTTGGACGGCTGCCGGACCTCAGCGCAGCAGCCATAGAAACCACCTTCGCAGCGGGGCAGCTGGCCGTTGGCCCACGGGCTACGCCTGCCGAACCAGCGCTTCGCGCCCGATGGGAAGCACGAGAGGAAGAGATGGCAGCAAATTCAGCCAAGCAGCATGGCAGCCCAGGGCCCCCTCCATGCAGTGACATGTGTGCACTCATCCCAGAGCTGGACCCAGACTGGCCGTGTTTTCCTCCGGTGCCTTACCCACAGGGGCCTGGCCTCCCCTCTCCTCTCCTCCGCCTCCTTTGCAAGTAAAGGCGCTTCCGTCAGCAGGCAGATGCCACAGGCTGATGCGCCTGCCTCCCGCTGCCCCAGGCCTTCTGGCTAACCAGCCTCGCGGCGCCCCTAACGCGGCTTGAAGGGGCACCCTCCCAGCATAGCTTTCCCCAAATGCGGCAGCTGGGATAGAAAAATATTTTTAGTGACTTTCCTTGGCTCTGAATAAGCCTTTCTTTTTCTTCCCTCCACTCCCCCCCCCCAAACTTTGGGAACTACAAATGCAAATATTTATTCAAAAGAAAAACTATAATACTAAAAGCACATCCAACTGACATTAAGGGCAGCACAGCATTACAGCTGGGTACAGTTAACACTGAGGTCTGAAAAAACCCTACACCTCAAACCTAGCCTCCAAACCACCAAAGATTAGAGAGTTGTTTTTAGAAGCAGTTTGGGTTTTAAACTTTACGGATTGCATTTCAGACTTTCAATAGCTTCGCTTCAATCATGGATTTAATCAGGTGAGCAAGGCTGGTTAACAGCCTGCTGCAGCATAAACATTCGCTCTTTCAGGAGCACTCGGTAGCAAGGACGGAGGCAAGTCTCTCTATTCAAGCTTTCCATTTTCAAACCAGACATACCCAGTAGAAACCAGGGTGTGGTGGTTTTTTTCAGATGAAGCTTTTCAGTCCCTGGCTCAGCCCAAGAGCAAGTTTCTAGCATGCAATGTTTCTAAATGATCTGGTCATACATAACAAGGGAAAAAAATGAGCGGAAGATACTTCTAGTGGTCAAAGGCTTTCATTTATGTACCTGAAAACACGACTTCATTGTTCTTCAATGGGAAACATGTTTGCTTAGGGGAAAACCATCTGTATTTGACAGGGAGTTACAGCGGAGTTGATCTATTCACAAACGAGTGGGCATAACTACTCTATGTTCCTAATCCAGCTACAACTTACCCAAATCAGCTATGGGAAAGGGGAGAAGGCAAGGGAGGCAGAGAAAACAGGAGTGGGAAGAAAGGCTGTGAGCAATCACAAGTTTAAGAAAACAAAGGAAAAAAAAAGCTGCTTAACGAGCTACACAAAGCAGAACATGTTATGAACGTGTCCTCTCTCACACTGCCTGAATTTGGTGCCCAAAATGCACCCCGGTTCACTGGTTGGCAATCAAGCCACCCAATTCACACTCTGCATCAAGCACCAGCTACTCTCCGTCCAAGGTAGATGCAGACAGCTCTACCTCCTCACTTGCCCAAACTCAGCCTTTGCTTTCTTAAATGTCAACGTATTAAACATCCCCTCGCCTGGGATTTGCACTCTCCCCTGTGAACCCTCACCCCAAGCTCCCCTGCCCTCTCTTCTTGTTACATGTCTACTTTACTGAATCTACTTTAGCCCAACTTTAGGGGTGTTACAAACCTTTAATCAACCCGTAGCGGTGGCTTTCTGAATCAGGGAAAAAAATGCAGCAATACAAATGCACATAATAACGATCCATTCCCTACGGTTTGGGGCTCAGCATATGCCCTAGAGCCACGTACATCCAATTATGGGCCTGAAAAAAAGAGGAATCCACACAGTAAAGGGGTTTTGGCGGTGAGCTAAAGCTCGCTGAGCTACTGAAGTTGGTCTTCATGGCACATTTTCTCCAAAGCCTGGAAAGCAGTATCAGCTACCCCAGTCGAGCGTGCTCAACTGTTTTAACCCAAATTGCTGTTTGAGGTGGTTTGCAGTGCAAGACCCAGCTTCCAAGAGGCAACAGGGTACGCGTCCCTCCCCGGCAGCCCTGCAGCAGGGAGCCGGGAAGGCCGGGAGGAGGCAGCCTGCAGCGCGGGGGACGCTGCAAACAACCGCCGCAGGGCCGTCTTACGCTGCCACAACACAATTAGCAAGGATTGCTTGCCAGAGACCTTCAAAATCTCTGCGAGTTTAGGGAGCTGCTTTGGGAGCTCCTATAGGCTCATTGTGGGTTTAGCAAAGTCATCTCTTTTTTTCCCCTGAATGTACCAATTCAGAAACACTAGCTTGGCATTTACAAGGCCCTGCATTTAATCACACTGCAAACTATTTTGTGTAAAACAGATTTTTAAAAAACCCAAACCCCTATTTCTGCACTTAAAAATAACTTCTAGGGCACTGCAGTTAAAACAGCACAGTTAAGACGGCTTGTCTCTGTGGCTTGTTTGCACTGCACGTTGTCTACCTTCACCAGAACCCAAGTCTGACTTTCTGCAAGCACAGATGTTTCTCTTAAGGCTGGACACTGGCATTTGTGTTGCTGAAAGGGGAGAAAGAATAGCCTGACCCTAACGGTCTTCCTCCTACAGATACTTATGCACCCACCTTAAATTTCCTATAACCTCTCCCACGTTAAGTGCTGGCAAAGAATATATAAATATTTACTGAGGTCGATCCGTCTGAGAACACCCTTGCTGCTCCCAAGGTGCCAGTTTACCAAATTCCACATGATAATTAATTGCTTCTGTGGTCCAAAATAACTTTGACAGAGGTCTCCAAGGCCAGCCCCTTCTTCTTGGTGTTTGACTTTGGTGATTTGTCCGGATAAAGCTGGTGTAAACTGATCACGCAGTTAATAACAGCCCACTTCACATGAAAGTGATCTGCTTGGATGGGAAGAAGGGGAGATGTCGGGCCAACGTGGACCCGCAGGTGAAGGCACATACAGAAATGCCAGACACGCCGCTCCCGTCTGTATCCGCGCGCTCTACTAAAGGGAAGATTGGCTGCGAGATAACGATGTTTATTAACAAGACCCTTGCCACTGTGAAAGCATTTGGCCTTATTTGCCTCCAGTGTTTGTGCGTGCTGCCCTTTGCGGTATTCAGTTCCTGCACATGTGGGGAAATCTGCCTGGTGCTGTGCATGTCTGCTGGAAGGAAAGGCCACTTGGACGGCCCCTCCATTTCTCACGGAGCACCTCAGACCAGTCCCGGAGGCCCCGGGGTGGCTAAAGAGAAGGACCTGAAAAGGCGTGTTGCATGAGTTTCACTCAGAACAGCAAGTGCAGCCCAAAGTCAGACGTTTAAACGTGAGTCTCTCCGTAAGGAGGGGCTGATGGGAAGGGATGTGCCTGAAGGCTGACTTGCAGAAGAGGAGGGTTATCGCCAGTGGGCAAGGAGACAGCCCCGCACGGAAACCAGCATTCAGGCAACTCACAGAGGAGCTGGCCGTACGGCAGCAAAGCTCTTACGCTCGAGGGTCACCAACTGTTACGTTGAAGAGAATCCCATCTCTTCAGGTTAACTAGAGGGTCAGCCCAGAGTCTGAGAGCACGAGCTAAACCCACAGCAAGACACGGCTGAGCGAGGGCCTCCAGATCTTGCAGGCTACAGCAGAGGAACACCTGCACGCTCCTCCCACCCGCCTCGTTCCTCATGTCCTGGGCCAGAGCTGGCATATGATTTTCTGCCTCAACAGACGAAAATACTTCCTTTTCTTTCTGTTCATCCTCCTTCTGCAGAAGAACAGAGCTTGGCTCCAGGAAGGCATTGACGCAGGACTCTATGTCAAAGCAGTTTATAACCATGGGGGCTACTCAGTTCTGCTTTATATAAGCCAGTCATAATTACGTGTTTATAATACAGGGAAAATCAGCATTCTTGGTGAAAAAATACAGACCGTTGAGATTCTTATGCCACAGCCATAACCTGAGCATCTGAGCACTTGGTACTGACTGCAGGACAACAACTGCACATCAAAGGGAGCACAACGGGGTCCCAATCCCGCACGTAGCAGCGTGCCTTCACGTAACCCCACGGCTCACCAGATCCAGTACTGGCCCAGGAGCACACTTCACGCGCTCCAAACTGCAGGACTTGAAATGCTTTCCATGTTTAGATAGTAAATGGGGCTTCTTCAAACATACTGCCCCAACCCAACCCACAGCATCTTTTGGGAAAGGGGTTCATTTTTGGACTGAAGAAAGAAAACCCTGTGTATTCACTAACATAGAGGAAGGAAGGTTCAATCTACAAAAGCCATCAACAGCAGCCAGCTGCCTTGCTCTCCAGGAGAGAAACTGCCCTCAAGCCCTGATAGGCAGCGGCAATCCTGGCTTGGGGAAGACCACAGACCAAAAATCTGACAAGACGTAAGATACAGCAAGAGAGGAAGATGCGCAGGCAGGGAGATGCACAGAAGGGGACCGCAGCACCCCAGTTCTGCACCCACTTCGGATCCAGATGCATCAGGGCACCCTCAGAAGAACAAGGCAGCCTTCAGGGTAACCCCCAGGCTCGCGTCCTGCTTCATCCTGGGGCGAACGCTTCCCCAGCCCTGTCATGCATCATCAGGGCACAGATGTAGGAACCCACACAACTGAAAAAGAAAAAAATCCATGTGATCTCTTTAACACTAAAAATGCCTATCGGTCATCGGTGTCTCTTGGGCTGTTAAATCAACCACTTCTTAAGGAGAACAGAGTCTAAGAGTGTCACACTTAGAAAGGAAAATAAGCTGATGCAGTCTCTCTTTTCCAAACACAGAAACCAACCAAACATACATCTTAACTTTAAATTCCCCTCTGTTCCCCCGCCTTAAATCCACAGAGGCTCAACTATACCTTGTTGACTACTGAACTGCCAAATTCCAGGTTTTAAATTAAAGCTGGCTTTGAGCTAGAAGAGCTCAAAAAAGCCCTTGAGACCACAGAATGACCAGCTATTTTTTCCCTTTTTGTCATTTTATAATTTTATGACCTGGTGTGTGGTGTAGTCAAGAAAGCAGCAATGTAAAAACGGCCCTTTTTGCCCAATATATCTGCTCCCTCTGGAGCTCTGAGTCACATCGCCTGATTTAATAGTAGTGAAAATTTGTTTTTAGCACTGCAAAGCTTGCAGAGCTAGGGAGAGAAAGTTGAAGCCTATCCTGACTCCGCTACCAGTGCCACAAGACAGCAACGCAGCAAGTAACTTTCCCAAAGCGCTGTGAATGCATTAAAAAAGTGGCTCTCATGATGAAGGGAGTGCAGCAGCTGAGCCCACCTGAGTGGGAGAATTGCACGCTGCCTGCGTAATGGCTGGGCTTGTTGCTTGTAACGCCCAGATGAATAAACTACCTATGCCCTTGGCAAGCCCAGCGAGCAGCCATGATGCCCGCCTTTAAAACTGCAGCTTGGAAACCCCAAGGAAAACCAAGAGCAAAGCGGGTCTCAGCAATTGGGACTGACAGACGGCTCCACCTGCGGGGCTGGCAGAGGGCTCTCGCACCAGATTAGATGGTAACTCCTCCGGCAATGCCACGCTGGCACTGGCTGGCCTCCCTTGGGGAGGTCAGGCTGCAGGACTGAGTCACTCCTCCTGCCCTTAAAATCCATGAAGCGACATTTCACACCCAACTGAGTCCAGCACTTGCACGGCATGGCATGGGAACCCACAGCCACGCTGTGGCATGTACCATGAGGACACACAACGGCCGCTAGTGGCCAGCTGCTGCTGGCACGCACTGGCCCAAAGGGCAAGTCCATCACCATGCTGGGCTGGAGCAATAGGGCTGCATCGGCACACAGCCATGCCCAAAGCCTGGCTGCCAGCCCTGGAGGGGCTCCCAACCTGGCTCTGCCTCCCTGCAGGCTCCCAGCGCCATGGCCAGCACGGGGCCACCTCGGGTGCAGCGTGGCTCACCCACAACCCGAGCATGCAAGAGCATGCAAGACAGCCTACAGATTCACACCAGCTAGGTTTCGGCAATGCTGACTTATCTCCCCATTCTGTGTCTGGACATAGACTGAAAAATACAGCCACCTCTCTTCCTTGGGGTATAGTTGTTTCTAGACATGGAAAAAGCAGGGATCCTATTGGAAATGAAGGGGGCAGCATAAGCAAATTAATCAAGTAACTTGGAATCAGCTGAAATGTTTGAGATGAAAGAAGGTACTCTATGAATGAAGGACTTGCAGTACTGTGATGCAGGGCAGAGTGGCTGGAAAACAGACAAGACTTAGAAGACAGGACACTCTCAATTTTTGTCAAAATTTCAGAATTATCCTATTGTCCCACCAGCCCGCAACAGTACTCACAAGGCTGCTGTACAACACCTGCAACATGCAACCTTTCCACAGCAAACAGGCAAGCCTCTTCGTGTGCCTGGAAATACACTTCACCGTGTATACACTGCTGTTCTCACAAGGGGG